GCGGCCCGCGCATGCGCACCAGGCCCAGCGCGGGGTGCGGGTCGGTGGGGCGTGATTGCTTCGGGTGTTTCGGGAATACAGTATCAATACTCATTTTTTTTTATTGTTTTTGCCCGTCCTCAGATTCGGATGTCTTTGAAATCACTCTTCCTATCACCGTCTTTGTCCTGAGCGACGATGATTTCCTGCAGGATGAGGCTGAGGAGCGAGCAGCCCCGGCTCCCGAGCTGGGGGAGGAGGAGCAGGAGGTTGAGAGCTGCGCTCTCCTAACAAGCTCTGTGACGCCTTCGAGTGACAGCAACAGTTCAACCATTTCGAAAGAAAACAAGGGCGTTTCGAATAAGGAAAATAGTGTGGAATGCTCTGAAGACAACTACTTTGCTGAGAGTGTGTGTAACAGCTCAAAATTATCTTTAAGTGATGGGTGTGAGGCAGGCACAGGTAAATATAGCCCAGATGATGTGCTGCCCACATCATCTTGCATTACAGAGCTTCCAGACCAAACTAGTGACACGGAGGAGTGTGATGGCGATGACTCCTTTCAGAAGATTCCTCCTCCTCTCCTCTCCTCTGCTGGCAGTGAAGGTAGAGAAGATCCCATCGACACAAGCAAACAGTTGACATTGGCAGTGATTCTCAGACGCTGTGAGGAACCCAGGCACAGCGAGGAATTCAGAAATGGGGAGGAACTCTTCAGTGTTGCAAGTGTTGTTCCTGATGGCACTCAAGAGCACCAACCCAAAATCTGCAAGGAGATGGAGACAGTTGTTGAAGTGGAAGGTAACTTGTTCATAAGACTAATGCAAGAATTTAACAAATCTGGCAAATCTCAAGTTTTTGGTGTAGGAAAGTATATATTATGATGCCAAACCCATTTATTTTAAAGTAAGCATTTCAACATAGATTAATGTCATATGCAGTAGAAAGAGGATATTGGCTGGAGCATGCTTAATTCTTTCACAGACTCCTGTGAAAAATAGTGAAAATAAAATATGTTGGTTCTGTTTCATTGTGCTACAGGTTGCAAAAAGGTAGCCTTTCATTAGGGGGAAAAAAAAAAAAAAAAAGCCAGAGCAGCATCTTATTTGTGAGAGTAGAGCCCTGACAGAGTTTCATGACAGTACTTTCATAGAAATCCTGGCATAAAGCTGTTTCATTAAAAACTGCAGGGCATGCATTGTTGTCCTGTGAAGTTTAGAGCTTTGCATAGAAAGGAGGAGGCTCCTAAATGGATTTCTTCTCTTAAAATATTATTTAAATGTTGGTTGGGGGGAAAGTGTGGAGAGAGACATTAGGAAAGAAGTGGACTTAAAATATTAAGGAAGTAAAAAGAGTGAAGAGCAAGCAAGTCGTTAGGCAATTTGGGATAATTCATTAATACCACTTAATCATGAACATTGGTGATTCATTGACATGTCATGCATGTGACTTATTTATCCCCTTGTAGGTCCTTATTCTTCAAAGAATGGAGTCAGTAAAGCTAATAACAAAAAAAGAAAGAGAAGCAAATTCAGAAATGAAGCTCTGAGTTCTCTTTTGGAACATGGCTTCAAAGAAGAAGCAAAATCAACTTATAATAATTCAGCTATGTTTCTTAGTGGATGTTCTTCTTCTTCAAAAGAGCTGCTGCAAGATGGAGGGAAACCAGAGATGAAGGCTTCCACTTCTGCTGAATCAAATATTACTGGAGACCATATTTATAAGACATTAACACCATTTTCTAAAAAAAGATGTCGGCAACAAAAAGTTGTTTCTCAGCACGCAAGCCCAGAAGAATTCCAAAGCCAGCAAGAGGGTTTATCATGGCTAAGTAACAGTGTGACCATCAAACCTGTTCCTCAAGCATCTGTAAATAAGCATGAAAGATAGGGAAACCAGAGATGAAGGCTTCCACTTCTGCTGAATCAAATATTACTGGAGACCATATTTATAAGACATTAACACCATTTTCTAAAAAAAGATGTCGGCAACAAAAAGTTGTTTCTCAGCACGCAAGCCCAGAAGAATTCCAAAGCCAGCAAGAGGGTTTATCATGGCTAAGTAACAGTGTGACCATCAAACCTGTTCCTCAAGCATCTGTAAATAAGCATGAAAGATTGAATTTGAAGTGCAGGTATTGTGACTCTGCATACAAATGCAATGCACATCTAAAGAAACATGTTTATTCAGCCCATAAAGATAAGAAAATACATAAATGCTGCTTTTGTAAAAGAACCTTTTTCTTTTCTACCAACCTTAAGAACCACCTTAAATTTCATAAGAAAATCGGTAGGTTGCAGAAAGCAAGAAGAAATAGGTTTAATGCAAAAAAAGTTAGGCAGAAGAGATCTGAAGAAAAAAAATCTGAGACTAAGAAAAAAGAAAGTAAATATGAGAAATTCTTCATGAAAATGGAAAGGGACTTTACGCCTATGAATGAGCCAGTTAGCTTTTCCTGCAAAACTTGTTTCTTTGCTTCATCACATCCTAGGACGTTTATTCATCATATGAAGGGGCATAAAGAGAGACCACCTTACCAGTGTCCTCAGTGTGATTACTCCTGCTTTAGCTTATTGTACTTGTTAAAACACCTGTACTGGCATGCTGGGTATAAACTGTACCAGTGCAAGTTTTGCACCTTTTTTTCACTATATTTTTCAAGTATGGTAAGGCACAGCTACAAACACACAGGGGCTAAACCATATTCCTGTGAGTTCTGCCAGTCAGCCTTCACAAGCACAACTGGGTTAAAAAACCACAGAAGACTACATGCAGGCCAAGAAACGTACCAAGAGCATCAACTTGACTTGGTAGGTGGAAAAAAGAAAAATCAAAGACCTCTAAACAGTTATGTATGTAATGAGTGCAACATAGTGTTTTACAGTAAAGGACATCTCAGCTTTCATAAGAAATTTCATGAACAGTTTAAGGCTAATGGTAATGGTTGTACAAATCAGAGCAATAAATATCATAAAAAGAAAACGCACCAAGTTGACACTGAGTCTCAGGACTGTATTTCTCTGTCTCCTTCTGGTAAAAGTGTTGGTGTCAGTGGGAGAATGCTGGCTTCAGAAGTAGACTTTGAGAAGGTAGGTGTTGTGGAGAACAATAAGAAAATATGCTCTGGAAAGAAATTCCCTGAAAAGAGCCATGGAAGCAACAACTTACCCAGTACTGGGAATAGATCAGAAGTTCCTCTGAATTCATCAACAATGGAGAGGGTGAATTGCAAAGAGGAACCACTGTTCAACTCCAAGGACTCTCATTCACAAGTTAAAGATGACGATGCCTATCATAGATTGGTGGAAAATTTGAAGGATACATGGCCTTTCAGTTTGTCTACCTTCAAAACCTACAAGTGCCAACACTGCAGTTATGCTACTGCTGTTCACAGCGACTTTAAGCTGCACCTAAAAATGCATCCAGAGGAAAGACCATTTATGTGTAAAGAGTGCACTAAGACATTTAAAACCTTGGATCATTTGCAGAAGCACAGCCTTGTTCACATAAAGAATGGTTATACGTTTGGGCATTGCTTCTATATAGACAGCCATTTAGAGAATCAGGAATTGCATCATGAAATGCATGTAAGTATGTGTCCAGAGAGAGATTTTGATTCCTCAGAAGGTTCAGACCCCATCCATTCCTTGTTTGGTTCGGAAGTCTGCGGAGAACAACCAGATGTCCAGAGGGGCAAAATAAATGATTTGTTAGCACAAAGTCAGCCACCTTTCTATCATTGTGCCGAGTGCGACTATGCTACTTACATTTTAAGCAACCTTGAACTACATGTGAGAACTCACACAGGTGAGAAACCTTACAGCTGCAGCATTTGCCTGAAGAAGTTTCGTACTTCCAGTCACCTGAAAAGACACCGAGTCACGCATTTTAATATGGATTATCTCAAGTGCAGCAGCTGTGACTTTTCAACAAACAAATGGCTGTCCTTGAAACGGCATCTGGCTTCACACGCTTGTGAGGAAAGCTCATCTACTGGCAGTCCCTACCAACAAATGCAGCTACCTGTCAAAACATACACATGTGAAGAGTGTGGCTATTGCACAGCCCACAATGGAAACCTGAAGCTCCATTTGAGGATTCATACAGGGGAGAAGCCGTTCAAGTGCGGGCAGTGCGCTCACGCCTTCCGCACATCCAGCCACCTCAAGCGCCACTTACTGACTCATTTGAAGTTCCACTGCAGAAGGTGTAGATTTTCCACAGTAGATAAACGTGCTTTCCAAAAGCATGTAAAGACACATAAAAAAAAATACAAGTGTGAAAAGTGTAATGTGACACTGCCTACCAGAAGACTTCTGAAAAAGCACGAGCAGCAACATAAGCTTGCAAATTGCAAACTGGTCCTTGGTTCTGGAGGGGTTTGTGTGCCCTGAGTGTTTATTTCTTTAACATTCCTCTTCTATCCCAGAATGATGGCTGGTAATGGAAGCATCCAGCATTTTGGTCCAGTGACCAGTGAAACTTGGGATACTGGTTTCCTCCAGGTTCTTCTGAGAGCTTCACTTCTAGCACAGTCTGTGCTAAATAAGATCTTGGAGGCACTTTTTCATGCCTGAGTAATGACCATGAGGTCATTTATGATTTGGCCGGTATTCATCAGTTTGAAGAGTTACCTGTGCCATTTATTTTCTTGTAAAAAATGAGATAAAAAATCTCTTGTCTGATGGAAAGAATGTTTAAAGAGATGAGAGAAAGTATAGTAAATACTTTTCATTTTAAAATTGTCTATTTGTTTGGAGGATTAATGCTACCTCCAATCTGCTGCAAGTTGCATTCCCTACTCCCAGGTCCTTCTGCAATACCTGCAAGAGAAAATAGCATCTCACAATGTTACAGAAAGAAGAGTTTCATGTCATCACTGGATAATTGGGATATGAAAATGTATTCTGTATATATGTGTATATAATGGGTTTATTAAGCAGTTACCTTTTCTGTAGTTTTGTTAATCTTTTGAGTAGTCTGACAGAAATAGCATTGTTCTTGAGCAGAGATTGTATGATACTAAGAATCCTTAAATCTTCATTAATTTTTTGTTTAATGTTCATCTAGTATGAAATACCTTTTCTCAGGCTGGCAGGTACTGTTCTGTTTGTTTCTTAAAATGGACAATATAATACTTTTCATATAACTTCGCTGTTAATTTAACCCTTGCTGATGAATTCTGCATACTACTTAGTTACACTGCAAATCCTAGCAGTATCCTGAACTGTAAAATTTGCTTTGTTAAGAAGTTTTACTGTGCTTCTAAAATACCACATATATGAACCACTTTTGCCAAACAGCAGTTGTTACCTGATATGGTGAAGACAGATGGAGGCTTCTTCCACTTAATCTAACAAATCTTTGCTTGTTTTACAGAGTTAAATGCTGCTCAAAACTCTGTGCCGACATCACTGACTAATAGGTTCTGTGGTATTGATAGCAGTGGTGTTCACCCTCTTATGTGGGGAAAGCTAATGGCAAAGGACTGGTGCTAAGTGTCCTCTCATGTTACAGTCCAGCCCAGGAAACACCAAAGTAAAGGAATTACATTTGGAGAATGTAAACATGAAACTACCACTGCTTTTTTTATTGCTCTGAAATGTGTATTTTTCTTTATAAATGTAGATAATATCTTGCAGAGGCTTTCTGGTAACATAAGGCACAGATTGGAAAGTGTTGCCAAGTGGAGTGGTGGAGTCTCCCCCTTTAAGATACTCAAAGGAATCAGGACATGGTCCTGGGTAATCAGCTCGGTGTGGCCCTTCTTGAGCAAGGATGTGGGACCTCCAGAAGTACCCACAGCCCTTCTGTGATTTGAAAAGCAGTTTTTCAAGAGTGGGTTGAAAATCAATAATAGATACATGTCTTTAAGGCCAGATCAGCAAAGGTATTTAAGTGATTTGTTTCTTTATAGTTGCAGTCAGACAAGTAACTATATGGAATTGAACCCTGGTAGTTACAGGTGTTTTTACTACAAGCTGGGAAGTTACCCTTTAGGAATGAGTTAATTATGTCTTAGAATGATTGAGCTAACCACCTGATACAATTGTTAGAAAGAAGAAAGTTACCCTGATATGAATAACAAAAAGCATTTCTTCTGGGAAACATTAACACTGTTATACAAGCGTGGAGGATTTTTTTTACCTGCATTACTGTTCAATTCTGTTGATTTATTTGATGAGACATTCAAAAGAATAGATACAAAGTGGAAACAAAAATGTTAAAGATAATTGAAAGCCTGTATCAGATGAGAATAGTAAATAGTCTAGAGAATAATTGTTTAAAAATATTTTGCGCAAAGAAGGGAACCTACTTTAAGAGGGTTAAATTCACTTCAGGAAATTTTAGGAGTTTGTAAACAGCATGAATTTCTTCTTTTTTTCTCATTTTGTTTTTATTTTTCTTCTTTTAGTTGTGGAAATACAACAAAGACATTTTCAGATGGAGCTCAATGAGTTTGTAAAAGTAATTATTCCAGGTGGTTGCCTTTAATAAAAATAAAGTGTTTCATGCCTGTTTAGGTTCCCCTCTGTTCCTTATGCAGTGTACAGCACTTTAGGGGGTTGGAAGTGATACTCAAGTCTGCCAAGTCAGACACATTTCAGAAATCTTGGTGGAAGAAGCATTGTAATAGCCTCTTTCAGCTGCTTTTGCAAACCGTGGTAACTATAATTGAGTAAAGAAATGAAGCTGCTCCATGGCTGCCTTGATAAAGGCCAGTTTTGCTGCTAGGCAGTGGTTGACGTGCAGGACTTCAGCTGTGAAAAAAAATAAATAAATCTTGTCGGTGTGAACGTAAGAACAAACTTGATTATCTGGTCTTGTTCAATTACTTAAAGTTTGAATCAAAAACTAGGAAACAACTGAGGAGGATTCACTTTGCCAGTGCTATCCTTGGACGGCTGAGCTGTTTCTGAGGTAATAAACCCTTTGGTGGGGTTTGAAATCCTTCCCAGCCCTGCCATGGCAGGCAGCATGGTGTGGAGGTCTCTGCAAGCTGCTAGGGGGTCTGAAGTGTAAGATTTCGCAGGTGTTAGTATATGTTACTATGGCAGTTTTCATTTGTTCACCACTGTAAAGGCACGTTTTTTCTCAAACACACTGTAAATGAAACATTCATAGAACCATGGAATGGTTTGGAAGAGACCTTAAAGATCATTCTAGGGATGGGGCATCAACAACTTATCTGGGCAACCTGGGCCAGTGTCTCACCACCCTTAACGCTGAGGAGGTTGGTCCTAATGCCTGATCTCAGTCTCCCCTCTTTCAGCTTGAAACTGTTTCCCCTCATCCTACCATTCCATGTCCTTGTAAAAACTCTCCATCCCCATCATTCCTGAAGCCCTTCCAGGTACTGGAAGGTGCTCTAAAGTCTCCCCAGGGCCCTTCTCCAGGCTGAACAAACCCCAACTCTCAGCCCCTCACTGTACTAGAGGTGCCCCAGCCCTCTCATCATCTTCACGGCCTCGACTTGCTCCATTAGCTCCACGTCCTTCATGTGCCAGCTCCAGAATTGGACACACAACTCCACGTGGGCTCTCATGGAAAGCCGAGTAGGTGGGGGACAACCCCCTCCCTCGATCTGCCGGATACGGCAAGTTTTTACCAGGATACGGCAAAAAAACCTGACTTTCTCCCCT